GTTGCGATGTTCCAGACATACACGAACCAGAAATCGCACAAAGGATGGGCTTATCTAAGAACTTGCATCACGACTTTTAATTCTCTTTTAATCTTCATTTCCTTCCTTTTTTTATGATGAACGAAACATACAAAGTTTTGAAACGTAAACTGAAACGTCATGATGATCCAAGCCCAAATTTAAATGGTGTCATTACTTTCGAGCTAAAATGGCACTGACCCATGGTCTATTTTTTACTTTCTATAAATACAAAATGTTGTAAAGAGAGACGTGATTATTAGATTAAAGTTCTAAATCAAAGTTAGCGCACTATATATAAGTGCCTCAAAGATATACTTAAGAACACGGACGTTTTACCTAAATATCCTTTTAAATCAACAAAAATTCAACAAGCCAATTCGACTGACCGGGCTTACTACAAAGAGAGGTTTAATTTTAGATCTACTGAATCTGTCTCCCGGTGAATCTAATACGGTTATCAGCCTCAAAAATGATTTCGTGATCATCGAATTTTTACACTTCTACCGAGCCTAAGTTGATCGAATATACCATGTCGCAGCGACAAATCGCTTTGAGGGTACTGGAGAATTTTTGTGAAAATCTGTGTCTCCGCAACAGAATTTTGTCGCTGCAACAAGTCGCAAAAAATCAAATCAAAGTGTTGTTAGTGTAAGACTAGACCCCAAAAGAGGGCCAACGGCACAAAACGTAATTGCCCCAAGTTCGCCTTTTTCTGCTTTTCCTTTTGAATAAAAGAAACATTTAAAGAGAGTTCCCCAAAGTCTTTGCATGTACGTTTATAAATTCAACGTGCATTATTCGTCGCAAAGTTGTGTCAAGGTCATTCTTTTTAAAGTGGTTAGCTCCACCCCAAAAGTTTCACACGATCGTCTTTCCGCCGCTCCTCCAAAACTAACGAACAAACAAACGAACGAACAAAAGAAAAAAAATCATTCACAATACAACTTGCAACCTCTAGTTCTCAAATTTGCACCTTTTCGTCGCTTTTACACATTATTCAGTACTTCCTCCCAGAAGTCGTAATTCCTTTTTAGACGGGTTTTGAAGAGATTTAACGATAATTACAATCAACAGTCTTTGCCTGTTTGAAATTACCCATCAAGGCTCTTCTAAATCATTCAGGCATGCAGTTAGTTGCTCAGTACTTTATGGAGTGATGATATGTCTGAAATATGACGTCATCATACAATTGTCTTTTTCCGCGGACCCGACTATCTCGGAGACTGGAACAGGCTAGGCCATCGCAAACTAGAATGACAACCATTGGAATCTTTGAGGCCAACAATGTAAGATATTACGGAATGTCGATGAAGCAACTGAATGTTATGAAAAGTCTGCGGTTTTTCGCTGGTGAATTATTTCTCCCATATGTGTAACAGTAATTCACGGGGTTCACGCAATATTTGTTTTCTTACAAGGACACAAATATGGCGGCCTGGTGTAAAACATTATGTGACTTACGATTTACGTTACTTTGCGAACGAGCCGGCCCATGCAAGGTAATCTAAGACAGTCGTGGATTCTGGATTCCACTCAATGTATTCACCTGGATTCCAGGTGATTCCGGATACCCTGTCAGTGGGACTTGCATGGAATCTGCAATGCAATAATTAGCGGCATCCCGAGTTTCATGAGCTGAATTCCGGATTCTAGGAAGCCAAAATTTCTCGGATTCTCGAATTAAAAGCAATTTTAACCTTAACACATTTTCTAGTTCTTCGACTTTTCATAAAGTAAAATGTCGTCAGATCATTTTTTTTTTTATTTCACGCGCGACGACTTAATTATTGAGTCGCCAGTTTAGTCAAGTCATTTCAAGTTAGCAGACGTAAACCTAATAAATTTAGGAAGGCTTCTATTTTTCAATACGAAAAATCATATCAGCAAATGCATGGTTAATTGCTGAACCGTTGATCGCAAGATGGACGATATAAAACCACTCTAATTTCCAGTCACAGGTTACAGAGCTGCATTGGCGGATCTTACTTGTCTGAGGGAGGGGTCCTAATTTTCAGGCCAAGTAAGAGTCCGCAGGGGCGAGAAATACCATTTTCAAGGCCGGGTCCCGGTCTTAAGGTCTGGATGAGTGCCCCCCTCTCCTCATTTACTTGTTTCATTCCACCATTGAGCAAAGCTTTATTCTAATTTCAGTTCCCATTAACAAAAATCAATACCCAAAGCTCAAAACCAATTAATCATCTCCCGTTAGTTGTGACAGTCCAGCAAGGGCTAGCGGGGCGTACCAAAACTCGGAAGGACTCGAAACTAACGTGTGCGGCTCATATACTCACAAGGAACGTCCTTTAGCAACTGATAAATAAGATTGAACTAAACAACAAAAGAGTCGGCAGAAAACGTTGTTAATTGAAATAGACGCTAATTTGATGACATGATATATTCGATCAGAAAGTTTGTTATGATCAACTTAGGCCTCGCTAGACGTGTACAACTTAGATGATCACGAAATTATTGTTGAGGCTGATAATCGTATTAGATTCACCGGGAGACAGCTTCAGTAGATCGAAAAGTAAGCTTCTCTTTGATAGTAAGCCTGGTATTCGAATTGGCTTGTTGAATTTTTGTTTTCAAAGTATATTTTGGTAAAACTTCAGTGTTCTTAAATATATCTTTGAGGAACTTATAGTGCGTGCGCTAACTCTGGTTTAATTATATTAGAACTAGAACTTTAATCCAATAATCGCGTCTCTCTTTATAACATATTGTATTTATAGAACGTAAAAAATAGACCATGGGTCAGTGGCATTTTAGCTCGAAAGTAATGACACCATTTAAATTTAGGCTTGGATCATACGTTTCATTTTACGTTTGAAAACGTTGTCTGTTTCCTTCATCAATAAAAAGAAAAAAAGGAAAGGTTAAAAGAGAATAAAGTCGTGATGCAAGTTCTTAGATACACACATCTTTTGTGCGATTTCTGGTTCGTGTATGTCTGGAACATCGCAACGGCGAAGTGTCTATCACTAACCAGCGGTGGCTGGGGGTTGGAGTTGTAGAGGTACTCCCGCCGTTGTTCTATTAGGGTAAAACTAGACGCCAAAAGAGGGCCAACGGCACAAAAAGTAATTGCCCCAAATTCGCCTTTTTCTGCTTTTCTTTTTGGATAAAAGAAACATTTAAAGAGAATTTCACAAAGTCTTTGCATGCACGTTTCTTAATTCAACGTCCATTTTGCATTATTCGTCGCAAACGTGTGTCAAGGTCATTCTTTTTAAAGTGGTTAGCTCCTCCCCAAGAGTTTCATGCAATCGTCTTTCAGCCACCCCTCCAAAACAAACAAACAAACAAACAAACAAACAAACGAACGAACGAACGAGTGAAAAAAAAATCATTCACATTATTTCTAACCTCTAGTTCTCAAATTTGCACCTTTTTGTCGCTTTTACACATTATTTAGTACTTCCCCCCAACTTAATTCAATGTCGACAGCGACGGAAGTCGTAATTCCTTTATAGATGGGTTTTGATAAGATTTGAAGATAATTACAATCAACAGTCTTTGCTTATTTGAAACAACCCATCAAGACCCTTCAAGGCTCTTCTAGATTATTCAGGCATGCTGTTATAGTTACTCAGTACTTATCTACTTGCGTGTCGGGCGATATCAGGGATGTCAACGCACACACGTTTTAGCTATATCTACAACATTTCACTAACATAACTTTTGATAGGGTGTTTATGTTGTACTATCCATTTATAATAAGTCATTTTCAGTAATTATCCAGAAGACAATGGTCTTACAATTGTTGCTGTGCTGTTTGCGTGAGAAAGTGAGCAGTTTCGTGTTTTACTGTTGTGACTCACTTGAGAGCTGTATGAAAAGGTGCTAATTGCCGTCACTTTACAATGAGAAAGCTTTTTGTGACGAAAGACTCCTTTGGAACGAAAAAACACTTCACGGGAAAGCAGTCACAAGTGAAGTATCTTTCAGTAGCAAAAAAATCATTTAAAATTTTGCTGAGTAATGAACAACCAACATTACCCGGTACATCGGGAAAAAGATGCTCGGTAGCTTTTCTCAGTTTTTGATAGTGGCACTAAGGCAATTTCATGACTTCATTCAGGGATCAGAAATATTGTACACCAGAATAAACAGCTTGACAGAATAGTTATGCCTGCGTGATAAGAAGATCATTCCGCTTCAACAGGGATGTCCACAGAATAAAAGTTGGAACCACCTTGTACCTTGAAAAACAACCATAAACAGTACCACAGGAAAGTACATGCTCAGAAACGTTCATAAATCGATTAGTGCTTGAAAGAGCCAAGCCGGATATACCAGAATTAAATTTTTAATGGTCTCCCCGAGTTTATCAATTTGTTTACATAGCGATCTTGGAAATAACTATGCTATGATGTTTTAAGCTGTCTATAAAAATACACTTTACACCTTGGATCTGTACATTCAGATTTTTATGTATTAAAGTTTTGCAATTACTGACGTGATTTTCGATCTCCGCACTCTAAAATTACTAAAACATGAGTGAACGTTTATCATTATGTACATGGCGTATAACCCGTGATGACTCGTCGTATAGAAAAGCTGATTTTGGCTTCACGTTTAAGTTAAATTGACAGAGTAAACTCCTGCAATTGTCTATTTTGCACTGTTTCGGTTACTCTCCAGTCTGCAGTCTCATTTCTCAAGTTCATCATGGCATTCCATCAAAAACGACGACAAGTTTTTATTTTACAAGGACTCAAGTTTTTGTAGTTCACTGAAAACTTTCAGAGTTCTGTGGAACAGAGAGTCGTTGTGAAGAGCCCATCGATTATTTCGGTGTTAACTTCAATCTCTGTTAACGATTTTGTGTGTCTCGGTCTAGGCCGAGTAGATGAGTCTTTAGGCAGTGGCGCTGGTGTTGCAGAGTGCCTTCTTTTTCTCAATAGTTTTCCAAGCATATTTTCCATGGGCTTTGTACCGGTATTAAACGAATCTGCCGTTGTCTTCTCATCTGAGGCATTTTCCTCTGTGCAAGATTTAACTGACTCCTTCAGCGTCAAACAGTTCTTTTCAGAAAGTGACGTTGCAAAGATTCCCTCTGATATGCTTAGCATAGCTGACTGCACTTGTGTAGTGGACATAATAGATCCGTTTGACTTCATCTTTCGTCGCGAGTTGACACTAGTGGAGCAAAACTTGATTATTTCTTCTTGAGCTGCTCTGAATGGCCCTCGTCAAATGATTTGTGGTCTATCGACAGGGTTGAAAGGCCTGCACGCTATTAGGTTAAGTTAAACTTGGCTTAGTATAAGTTGCTTGTAAGGCCCGGTATCAACTTGTTACAAATGTTGTGAAATTTCTAGGTCCGTACTGCACCGCAGCGATGTATATTTCTAACCTCTGATAATCACATCGATTGTTAAATGATGTTTGTAAGCTTGAACGATCTTTTGTTCTCTTTTTAGTGCTAAACAATTATCGAAGCATCTGTCACGATCACTTAACTCAAAAATAGATCCTCATTAGCAAAACCTTTACGTTGCTTTGTGTCGGACGCGCTTTGTAGTTTCTAGAAGGCCACTTAGAAATAAAGCATTCAGACGCCTTCTTGTACTTGTTTACTTGTTTTCACAAGATTATTCATCACGAAGAGGTCAATAGCATATAAAACTATCAAAGCAATCGTTCAGGGTCATAGGCTTAGAGTCCTTTACTGTATATTGGAAAACATGTGTACTCTCTTCCTAAACAAACCAATGATGTTTTTGGTTTCTATTTCCGGTTATTTCTTATCTGATACATCGCTTTAGTACAAAAATGTTCAAACGTCATTCTGATAGTCATGCTATTTATGGTTGATTTTCTCCTGGCAATGAAAGAAACTTTTAAATATTAGTTAGATTAACACCACAAATCGATGAAATGACTTCACGGTTTTTTTTGGCGAAAACGAGAAGAGATTGGGCCAGAACAGATGGCCATCGTTGTACAATTTCTTTACGGCTTACAGCTAGGAAATGAAGTGTAGTAAAATGGCATTCTTTAGAAGGCAACAGTTTTATTGTTTAAAATAAATTATCTTCCATTGATTAACTAACCAAATATGCAGCTACTCTATATTTTTGGCAGTTACAGATTCATTCGCCTTTAACCGGTTTACGGTTAAATGATATGAGCTGCGTCCGTATCCCTAACATTTGGTTCCCAATTGAAATCTTTGAGTGTAACTTAAGAAGTGAAAGTTACTGTTGAATACTTTCTCGAAATAAAAGCTCCTGAAACCCCAAGTCACTCCAAGTGTTTTAATGCATATATTTTAATTCACCTCATGATCATTGACCATTGAAAGCAAAGTCATGGCCTGTGTGATGCATAACGATCGGAGCGTTTCCGCTGGGTTTGTTCATAACGCCGGTCTAGTTTTTGGGTTCGTGCAAGTAAAAAGTGTTAAGTTAAGTTTACTTGAAAACTCTTTCAACACTGCTTTAAGTTAAAAAAGAGGCCAGAAGGAAACTTTTTGCGGGACAGCATCTGATTAGAAGTGAAAATGTCAAGGTTTTCTTTTAAGGTTTTTGACATTTACCTTGTCGAAAAGTTATTTCGAGAGTGAGAGAAAACTATTTCCAAAACTGTTTGTCTAATTTTTCAAAAAAAACATTAATTGACTGTAGAATATCCCTGATTGGCGGAAGTGTGTTCATGAAGTTATTTTAACACAATAGAACGAAAAGTCAATTACACTTTTAAGCTGTCACGTGCTTTAAGCACGTGCTCAACGCACGTTTTCGCTAATTCGAAAATGGAATCAATGTAACTGCGCATTCCAAGATAAGCTCCAATTAGTGACAAAAGTAGTTGACACACTTGTTTAAAACGCTTGCTTTTATATATATGTAAAAAAATTTTCCTATATCATAAACGTCGTAAAACCCAACCACCTCGGGTTGTTTGTAAAATACAAGATTGATTTTGGGGAGGGGTTGGGGTACACAGAGAGAAGGGATAGATCTAGCCATTATATGGGGATGACTCAACAGTTTTGTTCCTCATCGTTGACAGTAGCTGTAATTATAACAAGCTGTTCTATTAGTAGTAAGACCTTTTTACGGACCAGTTTATTTTTAGACACATTTTAGGGCACTTTTTCCCGCGAAAATAGAATCTCCACCATGTCTATGAGCGCATTTGAAGTATACGATATCAAAAAGGAAACCTAAACGTCATTAAAAGGCAATAGATATCATTTTAAGGTCTGTAGTTTTTGCTGACTGGTTTGTGGAATTTAAAAGATATTCAAAATTTGCGCCAAAACCGTTCTAAAAATAAACTGGTCCGTGAAAACGCCGTGACACGAGCGCATGGAAGTTGCTCTCTCCGGGTTATGGGCTCCTGGTACTACCAGGAGCCCACTACTACGTACCGGCCTATTATCATACCCTGACCAATTTTCAGTGTGAGACCGAGTGAGATCTGTGTACAAAATACAGTCAACTCTCGCCTTGCGGACACCCCCTATAACGGACACCCCGCGATAAGACGGACAGTAGCTAAGTCCTCAGCAAAAATAAATTACAGACGTTTGACTAAAATAAACTCCCGCTATTACGGACTCTCGCTAAAGAGGACACTGACTCAAGGTCCCTACAGTGTCCGCTATAAAGGGAGTTGACTGTAATTGAAACCGGCAATCTTTATCGGCGCTTGTTCTAAACAAATGCAAGTTCGACGGTCGGGAGGTCCGTCAATGACAAGAGGCCAAGTAGCCTGCGTAGCCCTAGCATGGGGGATCTGTCGGGCACACAAATGAGCGGCGAAGCGCCCTAATGTCTCATTTTCTTCTTTCACTGCCCTCCCCACACCTTGGCTAGTTTGCGCGCTCAACCAAAACTGCCATGCTACGTAGCTAGAGGCCAAGACTCGAGACAATAAACTTTATGTCAACAATACGGCAGAACAATCACTCCATCTTTATAGCGTTACCGCAACTTCAAGCCAATGGCACATCTTGAACACTACTCGATCAAAGTCTGTACGGCTTACTTGCCGCCTTGCCGAACGACAAAGAAAAGCTTACGATCATATGGATTCTATTAACTCTAGTATGCATATAAATCAAGTTGTTTACCGCCGCTATAGCCGAATTGCTTTTATAGCTCCCTAGGCGATAACAAGGTCGTATAACTCTTAAGATAAATCTTTAATTGGTCTGCTAATTGATTTTATGTAAGAGGTACATGGGATGCTCAATGGCGTTTCGTTGTCGTGTTTTGCAAGATTTGTTGGTGTGTTGGCAAAAAGATAACATGAGAGTTTTGCACCTTCAATGCGCAAAATTACATCCATAATAATTAAGTAATCACCAACAACAGACAAAGCGTGATGTTGTTTTTGTTCGGGAAAGAGAAAGATGGCATTCAAATTTTGCAAATGTAGTGCCGACTCATTATTATGGTAAAGCTAATTGATTCACGCAATTTTTCAAAATCGATGATTTGTATGCAGAATAGCTTGCCATTTATCCATTTGTTTTCTGATAGGTGCGTCTTGTCCAGCAAACATCGCAAATGCACCCGGCAAATATAAAGAAAACGACAACGCTTTGAAAACCCGTAAGATGACGAAGACGGGATTTAAGCACCGCTTTTCAGAGACAATTAACAGATTGGGACGCGGGATAAGCTGCGTGCAATCACGAGCTATGAGAGACTGTGACAAAGATTGCGAAGCTCCAAGTTTCAAACCAAGTGAAATAGGAAGCTCAAAAGTTGTGAAAGGTAGTGATACAGACATAGCCGTTGACTGTTTAAGTGAGAAAGAGGAAAAGGAAATACTGAACTCTTTTCAGCCGCAACGTATTCGGCGAAGTATATCATTTACAGGGCTGAGTGTTCGAGAAGCTGAGAGATTAAGAAGCATCGCTGAGGGTCACAGCTTAAACTTAGTTCAAAACAACTCGGTTGTGACCGATTTGAGGAGAGGCAGATGTCACTCTTTTGCAGGAGTTAAAAACAAGAAGCTCGTGGAAATCACACAAGGACTACACGAAACAGCTGTTGTGGACGGATTGTTGACCACGACGTTTTGTTCCACTGAACTTTAAAAACTGATTATTATGGTTTTGGCAGAGACGCCGCACAGGAAACCGTCAAGCGAGCTTGCTCAGTCAATAACACAGGGATTCGCGGCAACATTGCTTTACGGTAACTGACTGCGATCACAGAGGACATCGATCCCGAGTCAGAGAACTGAAATAACGTCTTCAGCTGCGGTGCACGGTTTTTTGAGAGCAGCAATTTAGCCGGGCAATTTAGCCCCGAGTTTGCTATACGAACGCGCGAACGAGTTTATATCACTCCTGTGTTTAGGCTGAGACTTTGATGTGCATGTTGATGAATCTGAGGCACACAGAGGAAATAACATACGAAATGCGTTCTGTTGCCTTCTGTGTCTGTGATATAGCCAATATAGTACGATCATTTTTGCTTTTAGCCTATCACCCGAATTTTCAGAAACTGTACACCGTCACCTACGAGTATCTCGTGGGTATCCCATATGATGAAGGGCTTGGTCGTTGGGAAATATAAGGCAGCAGAATTTTGTTTTGTTGGCTTATTGACAAGACCTGCAGAGTGTATATTTGCGGGAGAAAACTATCAGCCTGTAAATCTTTTTGTTGTTCAGTTTATTCGAAAACTTTAGGGTGATTTCAACTGTTGTGTTTGCGTTCCTAAAGAATGATTAATATATGCAAACGAAAGCTCTGTGCAGTGCTGTCCATTGACAATGTTCAGAACGTCGGTTGAGACTTTTTTTGTGCCTGTGGTTAAAGCCGAAAACCATTGAGCAGCATTTTTTGTGGTAAACTTTATTGAGCTGAACCGTGAGTGTAATACTGAAAAATTTCAGCAGTTGGGTGGGAATAGCATTCAAACTGTAAAGCAATTGAGCATTCTTTCAAAACATGGAACCTTTTTTTTGGAACGTATATGACTCAGTATTTTCTATCAGAGTTTATAGTTAACAGCTTTGGTTACAACTCCGTCGGAAAGTATTTTTGAAGCACACACTTTCAGGATACATCCGTTTCATTCAAACACACATGAATGCATTAAAGTGATTATAGTTTACCCGTGAAACAATACGTAACAATTAGTGCCAAATAGTTAGAAATAAACAAAAGAAATCAATGAAATTAGAGCATAATACTCCGTAGTAGTCTTTCTATTTTACGAATTTTTTTTACCCCTAAAAGAGACCATGGTAAAACACAGACAATACACATATTTTTATATTTTGTCACGTGCAACCCTGAACGAGACCTTCACAGCTAAATATGATGGCGTTTTGCCCAGAACACTAAGTGAGACCAAAATCCGAAATTTATACCCCTAAGCGAGACCCCTTTTATGTGCGGAGTCCCTCCCCCGGGCAGGCGTCCTGAACATGAGCGAGATCGATACTGAAAAAAGTAAGTTTATATATAGCTTACACTCCCTCTGTCAACGCAAATTTCGAATACATTTACTATCCGAACATCTGCTTCATTAGGTGCCAGATGATACTGACTAAAACACAAGAAAAATCTTTCATGGTAAAGACTTTCTATGTCCACGACAGCGACAAACTGAGTTCTTCGGTTCTAAGTTCTTTTTAGCTAAATATCTTACTAACAGTTTTATTTTAATTTTCTTATCTGACTTCTGTTATCAGTTAAATTACTGCAAGGCAATCCATAACCATACTACCATAAAGGCGAATCTAATATATGATGCTCTCTGAGCTCTAAAGTTTAGCGGTTGTATCCATGAATTCTTCTTTACAAGAACGCTGATAATATCAAGCAAGGAAGTATGGATTTTGATTGATAGGAAGCCTTCTCGAGCCCGGTGTCTTGGTTTCACCAATTTTTTTTAGTTAGCAAAGGTATAATTTGGTGCCCCTGACATGACGATCCGCTACAACAAAGCAACATTAGAGCGAACTCCACATCGCGCGGTTGCTCAATGTGCTCTCAGTGGGTAAAATTTGTGTATTGATATCTCTTAAGGTGCTAAAATTTAAAATGACTTACAAGGGCCTTTAAAGGATCGAGTCGGAAAATAGAATAACTCGAACTCATTTGGTGCTTAAAAGAGAGGGGAGGCTTATTAACTTTCTTCCCCTAAAAAGGGTGGGGGCATATTAGATAGAGGGGGCGCTAAATAGAGGATCTACTGTATTGTTTGTACAGATGAGAATTTCCTTGTATGCTGTTGAATTGGTAACCTTCGTTGCAAATGTTGTCCCTTTTGTAAACGTTCGCTGCCATTTTTAATACCTTAAGAAAATTTTTGACCTGTTATTGAGAGTGTTTTTATCGCAACCCAGGGTCGAACGTGGACCCCGTATCCTAATCTCTGTCTTTGACCACTACACCACCACACCAACCCACAATAATTCCGAAAAATTTAAGTACAAACTTAACTAGCAAACTGTCTTTCTTAACGGTTACATCAATAACAGGTGACCCTAGCACTTTCCATAACTTTTTTTCGACTTGGGCTTCAACATCGTTCTTTCTAAGACTATTCAAAACATACTAGGTATTTGGCTTATTGTAACTTCATCCAGGAAACATATTGGCTCTTGATAACACCTATTATGACTTAAGGCTTGGTTGCAAATGGTGGCATCGACCGTTTAAAATGGGAACGACCGTTTCGAAAGGGAAGTAGGTGTCGCAGATACTCTAAACCGCTTGTAGACGATGCGTCGGCCGGAATTAAATTGGTCATGTTAAGTTTTCGCGCGAGATTGAGTAAGGGTTGTGTCGAAATGCACTATGGCACCGTTGGACCAATGTTGCCTAAGTTCCCTTAAGGCCTTTGCATTGTTTCTTTTTTGTATCACAGGTCTCTGTAATTCTGTGCAAGGTCGTGCTTTTGAGTGAAATCTTAAAGTGTGACGATCAACCAGAAACCATTGATCAGTGTTTTCCTCTGCTGATCTCTGCCCGGCTGTCAGTAGTAGAGTACAATCGGAGTTGTAACATCAGTCTTTGACTCAAATCTTTGAAAGTTGACACCCGGCCTGACCGCACTCATTAATATAAGCTACTGAGAAGTTAATAATATCAATAAAGACTGCGTAGCATCTTGCACGGATATGAAAATGGGAAGTAAAAATTGTCATTTAAGGGGTTGATGTTTTCCGTGTGGTTAAGGGAGTGTTACCTCACAGTGTTAATGCTATTAATTTGATGAAGTATAAGTTGCTGGATAGAAGGAATCCACAACAGAAAACGTGGATTTTTTAGTCATGAAGGCAGCGCAGCAGCTAGTGACGCTGCAATATTATAAAGCAAATCATTTAGCGGGGTTTCTATTTATTACTTTGGTGCGATACGGACTTTAAATTGGTGTATACTCAGACCGCGTGGTAATCATAACAACCGCTCATTTTAATTATATCGATAGCTTCTAGGGTGAACATTGCCAACGGGGGATGTAAACCGTGCTTACAAAGTGAAGAGACTCGGATGTGCTGTAAGTTCTCTTATAGCAGGTTTTTTTTATTGTAAATAACTGCTAGTCGGTCTTAACAAAAGACAGTGCTACAGAGGACCTTTCCTTACATTCTAATCAAAATAGAGATATTATCTCTCAAGAACTATCGGACGACACGCGATTTATTCTGCATTAGCCGTGACTGATATTGATATTAGGCTAATTAGCTACCTGATAGAAGCAGCCAAGATGTCAGCTAAATCCCACTCCTTTTTGACCTAGCGTTAAAGCTCTGTAGAACATAGCGTTGTTGTTAACAAACCGTCTTCAAGTTGTGTTTCTTGTTCACCTGATTTGCTCGACATCGGAATGGAACTAACCCTTCGTAATTTAATTCTTTCGTACTGGTTGTCCTCAAGAAACTGTTTGAGTTGCCACAAGTCACTGAGAGAACTGCTTCGTTTCCTGACTGGCTTTGGTTTCGCATCTTGTTTATCTGCAACACTTGACGAAATATCTGCCATGGAGTTTTGACTACTGTCTTGCCTTAGAGAACAGAGTTTCTGTTTGTTTTCCACAGCAGCAATGTTGGATCGATGCTTGGTACACTCTTTCAATCCTGTAGTTTCTTGGCCCGGATTCCCTTGCTCGAAATTCATGCCTACCGTACTTACATCCCCTTTTTCTATCTTTGCACCTCTACAACTGAAATTCGGCCAGTGATTCGCAGATTTCAATTTTCCTCGCCATTCTCTGAGATCGAAAGCGGTCAACACTCACGCAGCACGCTTATAATTGATGGCCAACAAACCACGACGATTTAATTAATGAGATCTATTCTAAATGCGTTTCTCATAAATGGTAGCATTATTTAACCAGAGTTAATATCAAGTGCCCCTTTGTTAAAATACAATAGCTATGGTATTAATCTACATTTTGTTTTTGTCATATTGAGTTAAAAAAATGAACCTGTGGCTCTTTCATTTGTGACAGCAGTTTGATGAAAAAAAACCTAACCATCCTGTTATTTAAAACTGAACATTTTTCTTTGTTTATGAATTTCTTTATTAAGTTTAGCTTCTAGCTTGGGAAACCAGCATGTCACACTGTGTTTTTGAAAGGGCTTTTAACAAAACAAATGAACAAAACAATAACAATGTCCCCAAGACAACAATATTACTAGACCGGGCGGCATCTTGGGATATGATTTGAATCAAAGTATTATTTTTTTAATATCAGTTTTTGAAGAGAGAACTGAACGGATTGCAAAAAGCAGCGCTGACAGGTATGACTCAACTCGCAAAGTTCTGTTCCAGGTTTCTTAGATAGTCAATTTTATTTTCACACTTTCATCTGCAAACACCGAAGTAAACCAGTTGATCCAATAATCCTGGAGGCAACACAGCGGAGGCTGTCTTGGAATGAGGGAGGAACGGTTGATGTGCAGACGCGTCCTGGGGGTGGAGTTTGAAATAAAGTAAAATAGAAGAGAAAATAAAAAAATAAAAAAAAATTAACTACCGCTGGGAGGCGACAAAGCGCCAAAGAAAAGGTGTTATAAGGAGCTCTTTTTTTAATTCCATCGTTATTGAGATTTCTTTCTGGAGACTGCAAAGTCAGGCTAGACAGTTCTAATCCAGAGCCAGCACAATGGAGTTTGATTGTCTTAGAACAGAAGAGGCCATGTCAAAGTCTCTGCAGGTGAGTTTGACTGAGAACGAAGAATTGTAATTGAGAATTGTTTTTCATCGCTATTGAGATTTCATTTTGGAGACTGCAAAGTCAGACCAGTCGGTTTCTGAACCCTGCCATGGCACAGTGGAGGTTGTCTTGGCGTGAATAAGAGAGGCAAAGCCAAAGTCTCTGCTAGTGAGTTTCAAAGGAAAAAAAAAACAGGACTGAGAAGGAAGAATTGTCAGTGAGAATCGTTTTCCATCGTTTCGCCGCTTGTAAGGGAATCAAAGACATTCATAGATTCTGGATTCCACGCCGTGGATTCCGGATTACGAGTACCTCATTCCAGTATTTGTCTTTTAACTTGGATTCTGGATTGCAATCCTTAGTTGGATTCTGGTTTCCTTCAGTAGTATTCCGGATTCCAAAGCCCAGTATTCCAGATTCCACATTCAAAATTTTCTGGGATTCCGGATTCCATGTTATTTTTAGGGCTGGGTCTTATTTTAAAAGGAATCGCAATTTAAGCTATTTGCTATTTTCTTGTGGAAATGCAGTGTCTGAGACTAATATAAGAAATATCGACTGAGACAAAAGACAAAGTAGAATTTAATTATAATAATTTCAGGCTCTGGTACCTCCAAGTCATTAAACAACTTGATTAACTAAAACCAATGAAAATATTATTGAACCTGAAATTGGACAAAATTGCATGTTTTAAACCACCATGTGAATAGTAACGGTAGCATTGATCCAATTTTATTCAATTAAGGTAATTCCCTTGAAATTGTTCTACTATCAAACTTTTTTTGAAACTTGGCATAATCAATATTCATGATATGAACATTGAAAAAATGCAATAAAAAGATGGGGTCACCGTGCTTGTTTACGCGTCAGCAGTCTCTTAAACTGGGGTATTTTTACTGGTTGCACGTTAACCATTCGAATCCCCTTCTTACAGAATTAAGTTTCTCAGGTATTTGTTAAGAATAGTCTAATAAAGAACATATTTGAAGAAGAAGAAAAAAAGTTTGATAGTAGAACATGATTTTTGTGGGGAAAAGTTTCGTATTTGATCCATTTGGGTCAAGGCGAGGACCTCAACTTAACCATGGAACTGTCCAAAAAAGTGCAATATCCCCACAACCAGGCAATCAAAAACGAATTAAATGAAGCAATACTGCTTATTTGGATAAAAGAATGCTTTATGTTCAAGATAAAATTTTGTTTGTTTCAATTAACAACGACTTAATTCTCTAAGAAGGGGATTTGAATTTTTTAACGTGCAACCAGTAAAAATACCCCAATTTAAGAGCCTGCTGACGCGTAAACAAGCACGGTGACCCCATCCTTTTATTGCATTTTTTTAATGTTCATATCATGAAAGTTGATTATGCCTCGTTTCAAAAAACGTTTGATAGTAGAACAATTTCAAGGGAATTACGTTTTCCAAGTTAAATATATCATGCCTGGACCAATATTTAATTTGCCTAAGGACACTACCCCTGCCGGTTTTTAAATTGCAATTTTATGTTTGACAGGTGATCAATTTTGTTGTATGTTAAGATTTTTCTTGTTAGTCGTTTTTTCTTGTTTGTTATGAGAAATACCATATGATGAAATCAAATTCAGCCTTTTTTTTTTTTATCAAGTAACGAAACAAAAATCCTGTACCCTATCTAATTCTCTGATAGTTGACTTTAATTTTTGCCACTGGAATGTAACTTAAGTGATTCTGCACATATTTTTGCCAAGCCGGAGAACTACGTACTCATCGCTTCGTTGCATTACAGGAATGTTTTAGTGCTACGCAGTGCAGTACTCCCTTTTGACCCTTTCGCATGGTTACCTTGGAATTTTTATGACGTCATGACCCAATGCACATGTATACCGAGCCCTTTCACATACAATGTTTCATAACAGTAATAATAATGATAATAATAATAGTAATAATAATAATAATAATAATAATAAATAATAGTATTGAGGTATTTCTACATGGTAACATTGTATCTGTCATACTAGCTAATGTTACTAAAAAAGCAAACTATGTACATAATGGACTTAAAAACTGTTAAAACTGCAAATCTAAAATACATAAATACCGTGAGTAATCTTGGCTGAGAAACCTTATCAAGACAACTTCTGAGGCTCACTTAACCACAGCCTAGCCCTACTCTTTAAAATTGTGAAATTGTTAAGTTTGGACACCGACGTACGTCTGATTTACATTAAATGAAGTCTCTAACGAGTCCTGGAAAGTTAACCCTTAGCTAAATAAATTTCTATTACAGTTGCATTACTAGACCGCAGAGTACGTTGGGGATTGTGCATAGGCGGTTGCAAGCATTCGGGACCACCTTCACTAAAAGAGCTCAATGGCCAAGCTTAAGAATGTTTAATTGCGTACGTGTATTGAAGGTAGCCATCCCAGGTTAAGGACGTCCCTTAACATGACACTGCCTTGTGCCAATCGACCAATATGCGGAGGGAGGCCGCGCACCAGATGAGCAACTGCAAGAGTAAAGACGGTTGGTTAAGGTGATCACATTTGCCTCCCACTAATGTGGCCTGGGTCAAGGGCCTGGCAATAACGCTATTTTTGGATTCAGCCTGTTGGTGGTCTTCTTCCTTGGTCTGAAAGGTTTTCCTCCAAGTATTCCAATTTTCCCCTTTCTTCGAAAAAACCAACAAGTCCCAATCCCATTATATTGGTTTCAAAGGATTGATTTGACATAACGTCTTCAAAATAGCTATTAAATAAAAGTTCTTTAGGGAAAAGAGGCGAAGAAACTCAACAAGAACATTATATCTGGAACTAGGAAGATTGTCTTTGTTGGAGTAAAAGGTGGAACATAATATATTAAAAATTTTACATCACATAATTATGTAATGATCTCAGCACCCCAAGGAATGAATTTCGAACCTTTAGTTTTCATTTCGGTGAATTGTATCCAGACTAAAAAGACGGAGCCACTTGTATGGGTCAAAGTTAGTTTAGTTTGGCCGAGCTCTAGCTTGGACAACATGGATTCTCCCTGTTCAGTCCTGGTCTAGCATTGCGGTTCTGAGTTCTCCGATAGTGGCGAACCCGGCGTCCTCAAGCAAAGTGTGTATGTACGTGGTCTTAGGTCTTCTTCTCTTAGTTTGTCCGTGTTGTGGCTGCATGCCACAACACAAGCTTCGATGCCTTCTCCTCTTTATGTGTAACACAACCTACTCCGGCACAGAGGATTGGATGTCCACCATCTAATACAGACCTTCATTTGTAATGTGGTCCCTCCAAGAAACTTTAAGTGCTGTGCGACGCATTCTAGTATGGGCACCATCACTTTGCCTTTCTGTACTTTTAGTTAGAGTCCATGTTTCGTTACCGTAAAGGAAAACACTTTCTACTGTTGCCAGGAGTAGTTCAACCTTTAATTCCCTAGTACACAGGATATATTCCAAATTTTGCCCAACTTATCGTACGTCGCCCAAGTTTGAGCTTTTCTAGTTTTCATGTCTTTGATGGAATCATCAATCCAAATCTAGATATTTAAAATCAGCTACTGTTCTTATTGCATTGAGTCGTTGCTTTTGGTTTCAATTACTGCTGGGTCTTGATTGTGCACGATTGCCTGAGTTTTAACTGCATTCAGATGTAGTCTTACATTTGCGACTGAATTCTCTACAAGTAATAGCAGAGTCAGTGTGCTTCATCAATGTGGCCGAGTATGAACGCTGTGTCATCGGCAAAGTCTAGATCGCTAACTGTGATGGGTGGGTGGCGTTTGCTCTTTCTTGGTTCAACCGTAAAGCCGGCAGGATTGCCATGTGCTTTTAATGTTTGGCTCGATCATCGCATAGTCAAGGAGGATGTTGGGCAAGAGTGTCGCCCTGCAATACTCCCGCTGTGATTTCAAACCAGTCTGTTTCTCCATCTGACGACAGGACACGTACCTGAGTGTTCTCATGCATACATCTTTACGACTGCGTTCACAAGTTCTTCAGGTATACCATATAACTTGAGGATTCGCAGCATTTTTTCACGATGAAGGCTGTCGAAAGCCTTTGGAAAATTGAGAAAAAGAATTACTGCGGGTAGTTTGTTGGACTTGACTCCCTCAATAAGTCTTCGGAGAGCTCAGTAATATCTGGGAGGTGGTTGATCTAAGTGCCTGGTCTGAAGCCATTCTAGTTCGGGCGCAGATGTTGGTCTAAAACTGGTTGGATTTTATTCAGTATAAGACGGTTGGTAAGTTTATCTACGATAGGGATGATATTGCTCCTTGACCTTTGGTTTGCTTTGTCTCCTCTGATGAGGAGGCTATTGGCAACGAACGATGAAACGATGTTAAAGGTGCCACGGGGATATTGCTTTTTTAGGTCAATTCTTCGCTGAATTTACTTAGTGCCTTTACCCATTCATAAAATGCTCGGCCTGTAGAGTTATAACGAAGATATCAAACCGAGGCAGGATCAACTCAGTCGGTAGAGCGCTTGACTGCAGAGAGTGTCCCAATTAGTACTTTCGTGCTAAATACATTGACACTCAAATAAAGTGCATTTTTTAATCAAACAAATTTCATCAGGGAGCACTAACTATCATACTTGTTTTCAGTGATTAAAACTTGAAACAACGGCCCAACTTTTTCAAGTTTTAATCCATGTTCATACTTGTCATCCGTTGCAACAGACGACGCTGGAAACAGTTTCAATGCATAAATATAGTCTTACATAACAAAAATGGACCATTATTTTTAGAATTCAATTGATGCAAAGACACATTTTAGCTTTTAAAAAAGTTAGTAATTCAATAGTGTGACGTAACCCTTTATATTAGAGAGCTTTTAAAAGCACTGAGCAAGTGCTTCAGCTTTTTTTGAGCTTTTTTCTCCTTTCATATACCTTGACGCCACCAAATTTGTATGGCTAAGTGTCTTCACTCTTAGAGAGACGACCTACCTTAAATTTTGTTCAAAATCACACCTCAAGTGTGCAAAAAGTCCACTTCCGCTTGACATCCGTCGCTGAAAAACGTCGCTGCTTTAATGCTGACACTCGTTCGCTGAGCATAACTTCTAAATGGTTACAGAGAAACCTTATTTTACGACAAATGAATTCAAAATTGATACCTTCAAATAAACTTCATTTCAGTCAATTATTTTTAATAACATAGTAAAGTTTATCTACATTGGACAGCAATATTCAAACTCTACATCAGCCTACAGCATTTACGGCACAATGCTTCGTCCCTCGTAACAAGTATCTTATCTTCCATATCTATGTCTACTAAGGTGCTAGTAAACAAAGTATTCTACAAAATACTGATTAGAAAAACCACATGCTGTTTCCAAATGGGTCCATTTTGCTTTATGACGTAATCTATAATTACTTAACATCATCATTGTATTTTTCAAGCCAAGGGAACAAAGAATTATTTAAGCCATTTAGCCTAATTTATTACTAAGGTTAGTTCTTGCCAAAACAAACTGTTCCTTCTTTAGCTTAGAAAAACATGCCAAATCTTTGATATGACGAAAGCAACGTGTGTAGAAAATGATAAAGGGAATTATCAGACCGTATGTTATTATACGGTAGAATATGTTACCGTGTTCATCAGCCAAGTGGTATGCGGAACATTTTTGGCAAGAAAATTATAAAAGGCAGAGTTTTTCTGAAATGTTACTCTGTTTTCGTATTGTCTAGCAAACAGCTGACTATTAAGTGCACAACATATCTGTGTGTAAATCTACGTAAAACTGTTTATATCCAGTACAAGAGCCCTCAAGGGTGCTTCTTTTGTTGTTCCACACATTAAGAAGTGCCCCCCAATGTGAAGTTATCTATTTGTCTAATTTATCGCCATTTTGAAAAACCCGGTTACCCAGCGGGACTCGTCTCTAAGACTAACCTACAACAAATTACTTACAAGGCTATGGTTGGCCTTTCTAACCCCCCAAATTGTCTAATTTAATACTGTTCTTAGTACTGAACATACACAATTTCAAAATAGTACGGTACATGACGAGCAACAAATTTAACAAATTTCGGACGAAGAGTCTATGATATTCACTCATATTCACTCACATTAAGTAAAGCTAAAGTAACTTAATTGCCCTTGACGTAACGTGCTCTTATCAAATGCTCAGGGCAGTGTTCACGGTCAGCTTTTAAATCATTGACTGGAATCTCGACTGAGCCCCCCGTAAGCAAACTCAGCTTTGAAAATGCAAACGGATCATCTGACAGACTGATTGAAAGTCAAATTGTAAATCGCCACGGTTACTTGTCATCAAAACGAAATAATGAAATCAGCTAGAAACTACGCTTACTTTATTTCGGCAAAATCCAAACGGCTTCAGTGCTCCTTTTGCAATGTCATCAGTCATATTTAGTTAGACAACAGAACTAATGGGATCATATCTCAACTGTTTTCTTGTTGGATGCAGTTATTGTAGTCGTAGCACTAGACTGGTGAAGTGCAGACGTAACTAGCACATGTAAAACAAACAGTCAAAATACCAGAACTACTCAGCAAAATTTAACTCAATTGTGTTACAGTATCTCATCTCAAACGTCGAAGCGTATGTGGAAGCTACCATGCAGAGCTCCATTTGAATTTATTTCTACTTTTCCAGAGTGCATGAATGTTTCAAAACAGAGAAGCTTCTTATGCAACTACTTGAGTTGTTCAATATTTATTGATTGAATGTACCCTCGCTTCCATGGTGGAAAAAATAGACCGGTTTCTTATTGCAGACGGAACATTAGCCACTACCCATTCAAATGAAGATCGAGTATCCAGTTGAGACTCTGGCTGTGGCACTGAAGTTAATATTTTTAAATTGTTGTGCAAGAATGTCTTTAAACTATATTCTAAAGTAAGGACTTGAAAATAATCTTTTCTCTACAGTCACACAGTTCGTTCCTTGATATGCATTCCTTTTACATAGTCTTACTGAATCATCAAAGCTCAGTTGAACAAAGCGAGGTAGTGAGCATTCCGTCTGAAGGGTCAACAGCCGTTTCCTTCTCAGCTGCCTTCTGTGCTTCGTTGGCTGAAACGCCCCCGTACGAGTTTCTTCTAAGTCTCTTTTCCAACTCTGGAACAATCAAGAGTCCCTCTATGTTCAAACTCAGTAATGAGCTGCTTCTTCGCGAAGTTAGTGTTGGTCGTTGAAGTTGTTTTCCATCCTTAGTCTTGTGGTTTTCCTGTTCTCTCTGTTTTGATCCTTCGGGTAATGTTTTGGTCCGTTGAATCTGCTTTTCATTTTTGTTGGGCAAATTGTTGTTTTTTAGATCTTTTTCGTCGTTAAAAGTGAGTGTAACCGTTACTTTATCACCAGGATGTATGACAGTGCCGTTCATGACTTTGTTTTCTTGATATCTGTCTCCTAATAGCTTGTCCTCACCACGTTATTATTATCCTTCCTAGACAAATTGTTATGTCAGCCTACCCAAGCGTCGCTTACACGTCGAATTTTTCGCCAATTATCGACCAATGACCAATTTTCTGATTTTGCAGCAATTCCATGTAGGTTTAAACAGTTACATTTGTACAACTGACTCGGCTAAGATGTCAAAACCATGCTATGCAGATAAATAGCGGCTTTTTTTCCCTTACCGCTGTTCACCGCCCATTCAGTATCGATTAGGTCAGTGAACCATCTAACGGACGTGTTTAGCTTTGGAGTGATTTTTGTGCTGTGGTCATTAATGAATTCTGTCTGAGCTGGCTGTCTTCTGCTCTCAAAGGGAGCTATAATTAACTTAAAAAACTTTGAGCACAATTAATAAGTGAAATATCTCAACGCCACAGGGTATACCTGCTGCAGAGCTTATATACAAATTACACACTATTAGGGTATAAAATTCAGACTTCAATTTGTTAAAAAGTAAGAGCACGTGATAACGCTTAAGATATTACTACGACCTAATTGTCAAAGGGTTAAAGCGCTGTGATTTGTATAAGAGTATAGAGATAACATTTCCATCTAAATGAAAATATTTTGAAAAAGGAAATTGCATGAAATGCCTTGGAAAAAAAAGGAATCCAAGCTAAATTCAACATGCAGGACTAATTTTAAAACATTTCATGCCCAAATATCTTAGTCATGGATCAAGGAGTTTTGCAAAGTTGAAGACCTGAAGTCATTAATTTTAATGAAGATAATTAAATAGATAAAGGGACAATGTTTTGTGTAAGTGAAAATAAAGAAAACATTCCATACGTTTATGTAAATATTGCAGCGTTTAGAATTAGAAATGTTGAAAGTAGAAAACGAGTTGGAGATCAAAGTGAATTCAGCACCGGAGTAAAATGGATAATTAAGCATCAAACAGTAAATAAAAAGAAATGTAGAATCACAACCCACCAACCTGCGCAGTTGCTTTCCTGAAATTTTTATATCCTTGGTTTGTTACCATGTGACATGGCGGCCATGTTGGATGACGACACAATGCAATTTTTGTTGCGCAGAATTTGCATGAACAAGATTTAAGTTTCCACAGAAACCAAAAATAAATGAATTAATCAGCATGTCACGAGCGTGGGACAAAGAAAAAAATCTGAGTGCCCCGACAGGATTAGAACCTATGACCTCCCAAACACCGGGCGAGCGCTCTATCCACTTGAGCTACGGAGAATTCACGGAAAGCGAGTTTTGTAACCAAACATGGCTGCCGTGAGGTCAGTTGCAAAACCTAACCTAACAACCATAACATAACCTAATTATGTTAATACTGCGGATACATTTTGTGATTTTTTGAAAAGTTAATTAAAGACTGTTTTTAAGTAAATGTGAACCTGTTACATTGAGTTCAAAATATGACTTTTCACATTTAAAGGCCTGGGATAACAGTGATAAAATCCTACATTTCCCTTTTTCTGATTGGTCGAAGAAAATTTCTCCCGCGGCAGGATCAATCAGAAGCACTGACCATCTTAGAGGTATTACTGCGCTCGTTTCTCGTCAATTTCGCGGGGAAATCAGCGGTTGCGTCCGCGAAATGCCGGCTGTTTTCTCAGGCGACATTAAGCGAGATAAGACTGATATAAAGTAAAATACAGGTCTGTGTCCTTCTTCTTCCTGCAGGTGACGACTCTAGTAGAAAGAACCTTTTCCCCGTCTGATTCACATGCATCTACATCTACATTCTTGCAAGATTCTGACTAAGGACATTTCCTAAGTGACTTAAAAAATATAAATTAATAAATAAATAAACATTGTGAAAAATAACAGTATACAGTTTACTCATTCATTAGGGCGGAGCCCAGAGCTCTTTTGAAACAGTTAATTGAGTTCGATTGATTGTATAATGTCCACATGCAAACTGTTCCCATCTTTAATCGTGAGCGGCCAAAAGCTGAACTTGTACGCATCACATGTTGCTTGGAGTGGATGGGGGTGGCCGGTCCGTTGGAGTTTCTGGTGCTGGACATAGGTCGGAACAGTAATTTCTGCTTCGTTGTTAAGTGTTTTGTAGACCATGCATAACCTTACTATTCGCCTCCTGTGGTTGGCCGATGTAAATAGAAGAATAGTTGTCTTGGGAGACACAGCCCTCATCTCTTGAATAAGTCTTGGTCACAAAACGAGCAGCCCGTCTCTGAACTTGCTCTAGTATGTCCATTTGGTATTTTCTGTAGAGGTCCCATGATGCGCAAGCATATTCTAATGTGGGTCTAACCAGTAATACATATGCCTGAGCCTGGATTCTCTCTGGGCAAGAGTGAAGATTTCTTTTGATGAATCCTAGTGTCTTATTGGCTTTGTTCTTCACATTTAAATGTGCCTTTTCCAATTAGCGTTTCAGTGATGGTAATCCCTAGGTATGGTCCACCACTTCTAGAATCTGGTTTAGCATGGTATATTGATGGTAAATAAATAGATAAAAGAACTTGCATTTGTAATTATTGTTGTTTCAAGCAAATAAATTTTTTTTAAAAAATGGTATATTGATGGGCAATGGGGTTTTTCGATCGATGAATACGCAACATATAGCACTTAGAGCGCGAAGGAAATGAATTTGCCAGATTTGAGACCAAGTTACGAGTTGGTCTGGGCCACTCTGTAAACTTAGTGCATCAGCTTGGCTGTGTATTACTGTATACAGGAGGGTGTTATTAGCAAATAATTTTAAGTGTGATGATATATTGCTAGCATGCACATTTCATTTACCTAAAGTAGGAAGCATATGAGTCCAAGAACAGTTCCTTGGGGGACTCCTGATAGGACTTTAGCTTCAGTACTTGAGCAGCCCTCGAGGACCACGTTTTGGGTTCTATTTACTGGCCATGCCTGCAGGCAAATCCGCGAATACCATAGTAGTCGCGGTCAAGGAGCTAGCGCTTGTTCCCCACACACTGTCAAATGCCTTGGAGAAATCTAATATCAACAGGTCTGTTGGCGTTCTGTAGTTAAGCGCGGGCTAGATGCTCAAGTCTCACATGGACGATGCTGTCTAAAGCCATGCTGGTAGAGAAAATTTATTCTTCACGTGACTCAGTTCTTAAGGCCAGGAAGTCGCATTTGATAGATAAGGCTATGACTCTTGAACCTCGTGGCCTAAACCACCGTGACGAATTATTGTAATCCATATCCTTAGTATTTTTCCTTGCCAGTTTTTCTGTTGTACAACATTTCCGTCTCTCCCTTTTAAACAATTTTTATTGCGACATTCTCCATCTATATAATGTTGTAATTCCTACATAAGTTCAGTAACATCTGTAAACCTGAAGAAGGCTGGTATGGCCAAGCGAAATATTGTCATGAAAAAACAGTGCACGTTGTTCTGAATCAGCTTTGCAGTAGCCTTTGGACGTCTCGTTTTTGGTTCTTTATATTTTGGCTGATTAGATCTCTTTTCTAGAGATCCAACGTTTACAACTAGCAGGATCTTCGTCCACGGTTTTTGCAGTTAATTTAATCCTTTATTATGGAGCCATGTGGTGGAATATTAGGTGCTCCAGAATTTTTCAAGGGATTGATGTTTTAAAATAACACTGGGCGATAGTTTGCTGCCTCTAGCTTAGACCCCTTCTTGTGTATTGCTGTTATGTTTGCAGTTACCCATTCCCTGGGGACGGTTCCAGTATCAATTGATTGTTGGAATATAAAAGTAAGAAACGGAGGTATAGCCGGTACAGCCTCTTTCAGTAGGCGCGCAGGGATGAGACCAGGGTCAGTTGGTTTGGATAGGTTGATTCTCTCAAGGACTTTCATGACACCATGATGGTCGATAGCAATGTTTGGCATATCAGGGAATTCACTCTGCTCTACTGTTGGTAATATAGGGTTCTCGTTGGTAAAAACCCTACCCGTGTTCCTGGGAAGCCGATTAGCGCTGATCGAGGATTAAATCTCGCTAATCGCGAATACACTTTACCCCTCGATTAGATTCTGTTCCTAAAAGCACGATTAAACTTAATCTAGAAATAAACTACGTATTAAATTTAACCCACCTAGCGAGGTCGATTAACTCACTAATCGGGCGAAAAAGTTGTAAAAAACAAACAAAATGGCGGACTCACCGTTGACACAAATACGTGGAAAAAAGTTTCGACAGCGAGAAATTGATCTCAACCAATTCACTGACGAAGAGCTTTGCAGTAGGTACAGGTTTGACCGAGAGTCAATAAAATATATTGTAGAAATCCTCAAGAACGACTTCGGGAGAAGGACGACGAGAAAACTGGCATTGGCTGTTGCCAATGTGGTTACTACGTCATGTAATAAAGTCGATCGGTATAAAAGGTGGACTGCGGACTGTGGACTGCGGATTGAATATAATGACTATGTTATAAAAACTGGGCCAATTATTTCTAGGTAGATGAAGAATTTCGGTATCCTCTTCTTCTCCTTTTGTTCAACATCGACCACTTCAATTTCCGCCATTTTCCCTTTACTTCACCCGTGCCTAAACATTTTTCGCGACATATTTTTTACTGAAAAGCAATCATCCCAACAACTAGTTAAACCGGTTTATTTTGACACTACCTAATCTCAGATTAGTTAATCGTGGGTTTATTTCGCTTTCAGGAACTCTTTTTTAACCCACAATTAGTTATCCGAGGAATTGATGCTAATCGGAGGATAGTTTAATCGGCTTTCGAGGAACCGAGTCCTGGTGTATTATGCATTTAGTACCGGGCGTCTGGAAAAGCGGGAAACCGGAATCCGGAATAGGAACGGGAATAGGAACAGGAACAGGAACAGGAACAGGAACCGGAACCGGAATAGGAACCGGAATGGGAAGAAAAACCTATATAAAAACAGGGACAACATTTACCTTAATTTAAGTTAATCTGGATTTAATCTGGATTTAATTCCTGTTCAGATATACGAAAAATAAGGGAAAAAATGCAATAGGAACTGGAATAGGAAGGGGAATATAAACAGTGTATAGAAATATGAAAAGAAAAAGATATAATCGTGATTTCAATAAAAAGCCAGAGAAATAATTAAGCAAACAAGAAAACACCTCTGAAATTTTAATCTAATTAACCTTTCTTTATCTTTAGCCTATGACACATTGTGTTTTCGTGTCAAACATAGCGAACTTAAGCAACGAGAACGCTGACCGTCGCTTGATGGAACGCTTCTGTCTCTCACAACGAATCTGAATTCTTCCTCTTACCTTCCACTGTGCGAATTTGTTGAGTCAGAGGACCGAAAGACAGAAAACATCCACTTGCAGTTTCCATTTTTAATTTTTATTAAGGTCCCTATTGCACTCGGTTGAGGTAGATGAAGTGCTGGCTGGGATGGGGATGGGGGGAGGGGGGGCGAGGGTTGAGGAGGCACGTGTTAATACCCTTTTTAAGCTGTGGACTATCTATCTCTGGTTAACTTCCCAATTTAGCACAGTACAATATATCTATGCAGCAAACCTGAGGTGTATGGCAGCCCAATAAACATGTCCGATGGGTGTCTCGTTTACACATAGTCTGACAAATAATATTAACACGTTATAACCTCCTTCCTGTAAGAGAAAAAAGGAACCTTAAGATCTGACAACGGCAACGCCAGCGAAAACGCCACTGAAAAATTGAATTCGGGTCTTAATTCAAACTATTTCTCATCAATTCCAAATTGTCCAGTGTTTCAAAGGTTGGGAAATGAAGCTGGAGACCGCGTCTGAGCTCAGAAAGACACAATAAAATTTATCGCCTGCTGTTCACGTTCTCAAGAGAACTTAAGATTTGATCATTTACGTCGTAGTTGTGCATAGGCGGTGAAGAAATTGACGGAAAGCGCGATGCACTCGCAAAGCTGTTGCTTTACTTATTTAACTTGTGGTTTTTTCTACCTTCTCGTTGCCGTAATATAAAGAGATTCGGGGAGAATGATACCCGACTAGTTTTCTTATTTTTTTGTATAAACTGAATTAGAATTAAAATAATTTAAAGTAAATGATGTCCCTGTTCTTGTATCGGTTCCCCTTCACATTACTGTTCCTGTTCCGTTGCCGTTTCCGGTTCCGGTTCCGGTTCCTGTTCCCATTCCCGTTCCTATTCCGGATTCCGGTTTCCTGCTTTTCCAGACGCCCGTACGTGCCTTATCCTTTAACAAGAGAGGATAAAGGGGACAGAGAAGGCATCCTCCGTACACACCCTATTCCATAGGTAATTCATCTCGAGTTATTTTTAAGACCACAGATCCCAAGGGGGATTAGACAACAGCCAATCACATAGCGCGAATGTGCTCCGCGTGGATGACCCACGCTCAGAGCCACGCGTCCTTCACGAATTGAGGCAGAAAAAAATGGTGGAAGACGTGGAGAGCAATATTGCTATTCGTTTTGTCGACGAAAACGACTAAACAGAGATCTCTGCTAAAGCTGTGTCAGCGAAACGGAAATTAAAAAAGAATCTCCCTTCCTCTCTTGTATAGAACTAACAGTACAGCAGGGAAATCCTTAACCCAGTGAATATTCTGTCAGGATCATTTATAATTTACAGTTTGAAGAGAGCAATTTCTTTTATTATTCAACAAAATAACACTTGGCGTCCTATAATAATAATAATAATTTAATAACTTCTAGAGCGCTATTTACATTCACTGATCAACAGCGCTTAACAACTTAAAAAAACTATAAAATAAAAATAATAAAATTCAAATTTATAAAACTAATTACATGTACATGAATATTACTTGCTACTTGCTTTATTGTACAAACGACTGGTTTCAATAGACCGGCGAGATTTCTCATTTTATTAAAGCAATGAGGTTGCGATAACTTCGAGTTAAACAGATTTCACGGGTTGTCAAAGAGTTGAGCGATTCCCTTTTCCCAGGCGAGCGCCGACTCATTTCGCTTCAATATTCACAAATGCTCTCGATCTCTTTACGCTTTCATTGCCTTTCGCCCGACATGTTTTGCATGGCGTTTAGTCATGCGAAACCTCCACTAAACATCCACGCAGCGCGCGAGCTAACTTTATCCCGATTCTAAAAATAACTCGAGACGAATTACCTATGGAATAGGGTGTGTATGGGGGATGCCTTCTCTGTCCCCTTTATCCTCTCTTGCCTTCAATTTATACTCCATTTGATTTCAGGATGGGTATGCCAATCGAGTCCTTGCGTTTATAGCTCTAACGTACTGCCAGAAACGCTTGGTGATGGCGGGCTTTTTATTGTTTGATACATTTTCAATATTATCCTCAACTTGAAAATCGAAAAGGTTATTTGTATTTTCCTCATGATTGCGCCCTCCTCATTTCCTCATGTACTAGTTTACAGAGTTGCTTGAATTTACTCCAGTCCTGCCCACCTTTGCTTCGACAAGTTGTGCTTAACGTCTTCGTTTTTGACGAATGAGTGGCTTAATGTTACTTGTACAGTCAAGGAAGGGGTTTTTCCATTTGAGGGATTTCCGAGGGATAAACTGGTTAGCAGCATTCAATAGTGCATGCATGGCCAGGAACAACAGCTTAACATTTTCCTCTAGGAAATGACTTTGGTGGAACTGTTAGTTAACTGTTACCTTGTGTGGTGCGCACACGTTACCAGGCCTGCTCCATGCTGCAATGTATAAAAGTAACAGTGTGCAGAGATCTCTAAAAAACTGATGAGAACACTGACGCGCAGTTTTCCCAAATCACGCGCAGCTTGGCGACGCCTCAACTGTCTGAGTGTATGGCACAGGCTACAGGATCAGCGACTCACTGTCTTCCTTTAGATATAACTGTTACCCTGTCCGATGCACTCACCTGTTCGGAAATAGCAGCTGGCTTTTCCAATAGATGATGACTTTGTGTGTGTAACTGTCTGCTGCAAATGCACTGATGAAGCTCAGGACTGTGTGAGCTCGGATAAAGGCCCGTAAAAATATTATAAATTTGAAGCTTAGTTAATAAAAGTGTTTAACAAAGCAAAATTGAGTCTAGGTTGAAATTCAAACATGGATGCTGGTGAAACAGCCGAGAACATCACACCGTAACATGGAATGATGTGATGATATGGTACATGTCCGAGGAAGTCTTCCACGAGTCGGCAAATTTCTGCGTACGCATTGGAGGGATTCTGAGGTAGGCAGCTGGAACGTCGCCGGAAGCAACCTACTCAACGAGTAACCTAAATGTCTTTCATCTTGGCAGGGGAGTTCCGGCGCTGTTCTTTACACAATGTTCTGAAAACATCACTCAGAAGGCCTTAAGATATCAGCCAGGAACTTAAGACGGGAACTTCTGTCGGAAACTATGGTTCCCAAAGGAAAGTGTATATGTGTATATGTGTATACGTTCTTTTGTATGCTGGGATATTTGCCCCATGTAATTCGGATTTCGGAATCAGGGTAATTTGGAACCCGGGATCCCACTAACGAATGAAATCAAGAATCCAAGTTCCGCTGACAAAGATGTGGAATACCTGGAATTCGGAATTCAAGGCGTGGAATCCAGATTCGAAGACTGTCCTGGATTTCCTTGTTTTCGGGCGAGGGATATGGTTCCAAAATCCCCTCTGGGCATCACGTCACCTTTTTCTCTGGTCTTTGAGAACACTGAAAAGTTAAGCTTTAAGTTTACCTGTTGGGGCTTTTGTCTTCTAGAAGTTTACTGTCCTTAGTTTGATATCCCTTAGTTTAAGGACTTTTTAAAGTAAAATGAAGTGGAACTTTCTGCCTTGGTGATATTAGATTTTGAGCCGTCAACGTCTTCCTTGGAATCATTTTTTGACTCGCCCCAACTCTCTGTCAGTTTCAACGTCCAAGATGACGGGAGAACATCGTTCGCACTGCAAAATACGCCGGTTTTCAGGCTAGGAACCTGGAATCATTTTCGTTAGTATTTCTTATTTCTTGGCTGATTTTAATTGACAGTTTTCTTAAAGAAGGATTAACTCTAAAATTAATTACTTCGTTGAAGGACAGTGGCAAATAGCTCGATGCATGCGGTTCTCTATGGGTCTTTCAAGCCTCGATGGAAAAGGCTTGCAGTTCCCAGTGTATTGTACGTATACAAGGTAAACCAATCTAACGCATCCTATCAATAGCCTTCTGATCCTATATTTTTCATTCATGCCTGCAGGGTAATCGCCTTTTAAGATGGCGTAACCTCGAGTGATTACAGAGTGATGATGGAAAGTCAAGGTCAGACAATATGATCTTGATGCGTTAATTGTGAAGAACTTGAAAATGGGTTCCGGCGGATCGACTCTGTGGTTAGTAGATCAACAGTTTCACATAATATGATAGCACTATCAACCGCGCAGTGAAAAAAAAAAAGTTGTTACGTCATAGCCTCGACGTTATGACCTTCCAAGGAAAGCCGGTATTTTTTTTTAGTGAACTGGCAATGATACTGCACAGAGAGTCCGGCATTTCTTACAATTTTCGTAATACGCATTATAGTAAAAGAACTGGGGTAGTAAGATATAGGAAAGGACTGACTACAAAAGGATGTCTCGCAGCAATAAAGCTAAATTGTGTCTGAAATATCCTTAGCCGTTATTTTTAAGCGCAGGGTAAAGTGGGATTGTAGCAATAGCTACTTCATTGTAAAGCTCTGCCGGGGAATCTTTTTATGCTACTATACTGAACATAAGCGGTCTACAATGGCAGGCATATTAAAAGGCGATATGGGCGAATGGAAGAGAAAAGTTATCGTCTTCTGCTCTCAATATTCCGTAAGTCTAAGCAAGCGTCTAAGATGTGTGAGATGCGAGAGAAACCGTTGCCTCAAGGGTTTTGATGGAAACACTGAGTGTTGTTGGTGGTTCTGTCTAGTCCCTTCTAAAGGGTACGTTCGACCAAAGTACGTTACTGTGCAGTACATCCGTGTAGTAGTGTTCATCTTGCTGCACCATGTGCACGGTATTGAGGAGCGGATTATGAATCTGTGGATGAAATCCTACCGAGAAGAAGTTTTGTTTATGGTGCTACAATCTTGGACAAGATAGACGGAAAATTAAAACACCCTCTCCCCCACCTCCCAAATCAACGGATGGAACCGGAAAAAGGGGCGTTTTGGCCTTCGCGCGGCTTCATCATCGATCTGGGGAGATGGAATTACATATTATATGATGAGATATAACATTGTAGCCATTTATGACTACATACTATGGTTCTGACTCTAAAGCCTATGCAGAAAATGTGGTGGTCTAAGTCCCTTTTGTATTTCTGCATTTTGCGAATACTGATCGCAGCAAGTTGCATTTTGTTCATTTTTAGGGCAAACTCCTCGCTTTCTCGAATCTTCCACGTACCTAATCATAATCTCGTATTATTTGCGTAGTACTTAAAATACCACCAGAAATACCCTATTTTAATTTGGTAATGTAAAATTAAGTGGATACGAATAATTCCGTTTGATTAAATTTACGGGCTAGGTTGATAGAGGTCATGGTTCCAAAATACCTAATGACATGTATTACAATAAGGCGCTTGGTTAGATTTAAAGGAAAACACGAATCCAAACCGGACCTTTCCCCCATGCTATAATTATCTCCTTGAAGCAATGAACCTCTTATTAAATATACTATATATATATTCCTTATTGGATACCTGTGCGTTGGGGAGGGAGGTGAGAGATTCCAGGAACGCTGATATAAGATCCAAGAAAAAGGTGGGATACCACTTTTATTTGGCATACTATTCTTATTCTTACTTTTAGTAAGATCGTTCATTTATAGGTTGGCCTTTTAGTTATCGTTGTACGAATGGTTCAGTCATCTGTCTACGTAACTGAAACAGTTAAATTGGGATACGGATTTCATTTAAATACGGCTCAAGCGAATCTGTACTTCGATATACTGGTTCAAACTTTGAAAAAAAAAAAGTCAACCAACCTTTCGTCTTCTTTCCAGTGAACCGGAGCCTGGTGTACGGTGCATTTTAATTACTACCTCCTCCTTCAATTTGGGATCTGTTATCTCTACTCCATTTGATTTCAGGATTGGTATGCTAATCGAGTCCTTGCGTTTAGCTCTGCCATCACCAAGCGTTGCTGGCAGTACGTTAAGCTTTTCATTGTTTGATACATTGCCAATATTATCCTCAGCTTGAAAATCGAAAAGGTTATTGATATTTTTGTTATGAGCCTTCCTCATTTCCTCATGTACTAGTTTACAGTCCTGCCCACCTTTGCTTGGACGAGCTGTGTTTAACGTCTGCGTTTTGGACGAATGGGTCGCTTAATGTTATTTGTTCAGTCAAGGAAGAGATTTTTCCTTTTGAGGGATTTCCGAGGGATAAACTGGTTAGCAGCATTCAATAGTGTGTGCATGGCCAGGAACAACAGCTTACCATTTTCCTCTAGGAAATGACTTTGGTGGAACTGTCAGTGAACCGTTACCAGGCCTGCTCCATGCTGCAAGATACAAAGTAATTTGCAGAGATCGCTAAAACTGATGTGAACACTGACTCGCGGTTTTTCCCAATCACGCGCATCTTGGAGACGCCTCTACTGTCTGAGAGTCTGGCACAGGCTGCAGGATCAGTGACAACTGTCACCCTGTCCGATGCGCCCACCTGTTCGGAAATAGCAGCTGGCTTTTCCAATAGATGATGACTTTGTGTGTGTAACTCTCTGCTGCAAATGCACTGATGAAGCTCAGGACTGTGTAAGCTCGGATAAAGGTCCGTAAAAATATCATATTTTTGAAGCTTAGTTAATAAAAGTCTGTTGGACAAAGCTAAACCAAATCTAGGTTAGCTTAAAACGTGGAAATTCAAACATGGATGCTGGTGAAACAGCCGGGAACCGTCACACCGTAACATGGTATGATGTGATGATATGGTACATTGGGGGGATTCTGAGGTAGGCAGCTGGAACGTCTCCGGAAGCAACCAACTCAACGAGTAACTTAAATGTCTTTCATCTTGACAGGAGAGTTCTGGCTCTGTTGTTTACACGATGTTCTAAAAAACTCACTAAGAAGGCTTAAGACATCAGCCAGAAACCTAGGACGCGAACTTCTGTCGGAAACTATGGTTCCCAAAGGAAAGTGTATATGGCCGTGTATATGTGTATACAGCTATTTCGAGAAAGGTTGTCGGAAAAATGTGCACGCGACAATCCCGAAAGATAATATGGGATATGATCAATACACTGTTCCTGATGACGACTGTAGCTGTCGAACATACTTTTGTTGCTTTCCTTTAACACTCGCAAACACATTTCCATGGCCTTCCGTGCCAATTGTTTCAAATCTCTTTGAAAAACAGAGAACTCAAAACCACCCACAATGCCTTTCAGGATTGTCGCGTGCACTTTTCCCGACAACCTTTCTCGAAATAGCTGTATGTTCTTTTGTATACTGGGATATTCGCCCCATGTAATTCGGATTTCGGAATCGGGGAAATTTGGAATCCGGAATCCCACTAACGAATGAAATCAAGAATCCAAGTTCCTCTGACAAAGATTTGGAATCCAATACCTCGAATTCAAGGCGTGGAATCCAGAATCCAAGACTGTCCTGGATTTCCTTTTTCTCGGGCGAGGAATATGGTTCCAAAGTCCCCTCTGGGCATCACGTCACCTTTTTCTCTGGTCTTTGAGAACGTTGAACAGTTTAGCTTTAAGATTAGCAGGTGGGGTTTTCGTCCTCCTGAAGTTTACTGTCCTTACTTTCATATTCCTCAGTTTAAAGACTTTTAAAAGTGAAATGCAGAAGTGCAACTTTCTGTCTCGGTGATATTAGATTTTGACCCGTCAACCTCTCCCTTGGAATCATTTATTGACTCCCCCCAACTCTCGGTCAGTTTCAACGTCCAAGATAGCGCCAGAACATCGTTCGCACTGTGAAATACTCCGGTTTTCAGGCTAGGAGCCTGGAATCATTTTTCGTTAGTATTTCTTATTCTTTGGCTGATTTTAATTGACAGTTTTCTCAAAGAAGGATTAACTCTAAAACAATAGAGAATGATCTATTCTCTCTTGCTATAAAATCAATGACTTTGTTGAAGGATAGTGGCAAATAGCTTGATAAATGTAGTTCACTATTGGCCTTTCAAGCCTTGATGGAAAAGGCTTGCAGCAAACTCCCAGTTTATTGCACGTATACAAGGTAAACCAATCTAACGCATACTATCAATAGCCTTCTGATCCTATATTTTTCATTCATGCCTGCAGGGTAAACGCCTTTTAAGATGGTCTAACCTCGAGTGATTACGGAGTGATGACAGAAAGTCAAGACCAGACAATATGTTCTTGATGCGTTAATTGTGAAGAACTTGAAAATGGGTGCGGATTGACTCTGTGGTTCGTAGATCAATAATTTCACATAATCTTAATAGCACTATCAACCCGCGCAGTGAAAAGGATTATGTTATGTCATAGAAGGCGACGTTATCGACGTTATGACCTTCCAAGGAAAGCCGGCTTTTTTGCACTGCGGCATTTTTTTTTTAGTGAACTGTCAATGATACTGTACAGTGTAGTTAAAATTGTTGAAACCGTAGAGCCGGTATTAAAAACCACTGGGTCATTTCTTACACTTTTCTATACTTAGGTAGTTAGATATGGGAAAGGGACTGAATACAACCGGGATGTTTCTCAGCAAAGCTAAATTGGGTGTGAAATATCCTTAGAAGTGCTTTTCCTTGGTGATGTTTATTATGCTTTCCAAGCGTAGGGTAAAGTGGGATTGTAGCAATGGCTACTACTTTGTAAATCTCTGTCGGCCCTGTCTACAATCATGGCAGGCATATTAAATGGCGGTAAGGGCGAATAGGAGAGAAAAGTTATCGTCTTCTGCTCTCAATATTCCGTCAGTCTAAGCAAGCGTCTAAGATGTGTGAGATGCGAGAGAAACCGTAGCCTTAGTGTTGTTGGTGGTTCTGTCTAGTCTCTTCTAAAGGGTACGTTCGACCAAGGCAAGTACGTTACTGTGCAGTACATGGTCGTGTAGTACTGTTCATCTTGCTACAACATGTGCACGGTATTGAGAACATTATAAATCTGTGGGTGGATGAAATCCTACCGAGAAGAGTTTTGTTTATGGTGCTACAATCTTGGACAAAATAGACGGAAAATTAAAACACCCTCTACCCCCCACCCTCCAAATCAACGGATGCAACCGGAAAAAGAAGTGTTCTGGCCTTCGCGCGGCTTCATCTTCGATCTGGGGAGATGGGATTACATATTATATGATGAGATATAAGATTGTAGCCATTTATGACTACATACTATGGTTCTGACTCTAAAGCCTGTGTAAAACATGTGGTGCTTAAAGTCCCTTTTGTATTTCTGCATTTTGCGAATACTGATCGTAGCGCGTTGCATTTTGTTCATATTTAGGGCAAACTCTTCGCTTTCTCGAATCTTCCTCGTACCTAATCATAATCTCGTATTATTTGCGTTTTACTTAAAATACCACCAGAAATACCATAGTTTAATTTGGTAATGTAAAATTAAGTGGATACGAATAATTCCGTTTGATTAAATTTACGGGCTAGGTTGATAGAGGTCATGGTTCCAAAATACCTAATGACATGTATTACAATAAGGCGCTTTGTTAGATTAAAAAAAAACAACAAACAAACCACGAATCCAAACCGGAACTTTCCCCCTAGCTATAATTATCTCCTTGAAGCCACGAACTTCGTATTAAATTTACTATATTTATTCATTATTGGATACCAGTGCGTTGGGAGGAAGGTGGGAGATTTCAGGAACGCTGATATAAGATTTAAGAAAAAGGCGGGAAACGACTTGTTTTTGGTATACTATTCATTGGCAACTTTTAGTAAGATCGTTCATTTATTGGTTGGCCTTATCGTTGTGCGAATGGTTCAGTCATCTGTCTACGTTTAACTGAAACAGTCAGAGTGGGATAGATTTCATTTAACTACGGCTCACACTAATCTATACTGGTCCAAACTTCGAAAAAAAGTCAACCAACCTTTAACAGCATTAGTTACAAAAACGTACTGCTCATTAAAGTTCATAGTATTTATATGAATATCTACGATTGTTAAAAGGTAACATTTAAAAGGCAATTTTTACCTCCGGTTTTTTAGAAGATACAATCGAACCTTCCCACTTAGTCAGTGGAGGCTAATTTAAATTATCTTGTCTAAAAAATCATTTTTATTTGAAGCCCCTAAAACAAAACAGTACTATTATATAGTTCTACAAAAGAGACTTGACCTCGAATAGCCACACCTCAGGACTTCCTTTGAACGAGCGACCCGAGAATACCACGAGAATCGACTGCTTAAAGCCACTTACATGATTCTAGAAAGAAAAAAAATTAAGCCGAATTAACACCTGCCCATTTAGCTCAGATATTTGCGGACTATTAAATACTAGTAGAGATTCAACATCTTATTATGTGACAATGATTATTGTTGTCAATTCGGAGCTAATTTACTACTCGCATACGATTCCATTCTTGCCCTTTCTGGGATTTTAAAACAGGCATCAACAGAGATTAACTTATAAAGATTATTTCTCCGTACTATCGCTCTCTGAGACTCGTCTCACTTCACGATTACGTCATTAGCCTTGACCGACGACAGTTAGCGTGCTGGAGGAAATCCAAGATTAGAAGTGGCGAGAAATGTAAAAAGTTCTTTTCAACAGTGAACAAACGGCACTGTGTATGTTTTGAAGAAGTCTTTAGCGTCTGACCGTCTGAAGGTCAGAAATGGAGAGCTCAAAATTCTTTGAATATTAAATTATTTCACTTTTGAGGAATTCAGCTATAACGATTTGTTCTTTTGATAACGAGCCAAAAATTAACAGACCGGCTTCGTGGAAAGAATTGCCATTAATGAACCATTAATGTGTAGTAAGAATCGAATATACCACGGCGTATATTCTCGAGAGGACTGGAACCAGCTTGAACTCCAGGCGAATATCCGTTTTGTAATTTCCCTATCTTTGAAACGAGGGTTTCTTGATTTTTCATTTGTTTTGGACAAGCATTACTTTCCATTTTATTAAAGGGAATTTGAAAAAAGTCTCATAATGGATTCACCATCTTCATTCCCCCTAGAACCTTCTTCCTTTTTGAACGTCCTTGAACACTGGGGGAGAGGCCAGGGGAGGGGGTTTCATCAACGTTGTATATTGGCACGCTCCGTTCCTATGTACAAACCTTTACCCTTTTAAATATCCTTTTGGACAGAAAAGCCTGAGGTGCCCCTTTCGAATAGCTTCCATTCAAGATGCTACCCCTTTCAAATATCTTTCTAAGAGCACTGCCTTGGAATGAACTGTACTTAATGAACGTAATATGGGAGAACATTATGGATATAGCCATAAGGCCCCTTCTCCTCGAAATATTTTAATAAAAGGTCATTTTAAATAGTAAAAGGACAGATTTCTCTACCCCTTTCATACACTTCAACTCGTGAAGAAATCCCTTCTTCATTCAATCTCTATATTTAAACTCAGAAAGGTGTCCCTTTCGGGGGGAGCCCCCACATAAAAGACTTATAGGAAACACTCCACTTTCCCCCCTGGGCTTGAACGTCAAAGGCAACTGGCGCTATGTTGACCAAAACAGATAAAATGATAATCGTCTTCCTCGTAGAGAAGAGATCGTGAGAGTATTGCAAATATCTTTCAAGGAAGTTGTTAATCGTGTCGTGCAACTTCTAATCGCACGAGTATGGCACGTGTCAGTTTTATTCTACCCTGGAATCGCGTGACCTACGTGAAAACCCTACCTGCGAAAGCCAGTTATTTAAATGCAGTGTTTATCAAGACTCTAACAAAGACGCCCACTAAGCCGGTTTCGTTCAGTTCTCTGGTGTCTACATCACTGTTTTACTGCGGAACGTTTTGGAAGGCGTATGAGCACAAACCAGAAAAACATTCACGATCTTCTTTAAACAAAACACTTTTAAACATTTCCGAAAGTACACCCGATTGTTGGTAAAGTTTACCGTTGCTCGCACTTTACTACTTTGCGTGAGTTAAATCTTAGTTACCAATGTTTGATTTTTTTTTTTCGATTTAATTATTTTGAGGGAACTGATTTTTGCGATTGGTCGGGCTGCGATTCTTAGAAATTGTACTCAAAGCATATACTTTTATTTAAAGCATACACGAAATCTACAAGCTTTCTATTTTCTATTTTGCTTTTAATTCAGTTCGCGTTTATCTGGCAGTAATTAATTGAACTATTACGGTTAACTGAACTTTAGATTTAGGATCGAGTTGCGCCAAGAAAGAATTCACTCTTGGTTGAGTCTAATTTTGCGCGATCAGGCATCACGATTTACAACGATTCAAACAGCTAGCTCAGTAGACCACAGAAACGCAATATATGTAAGATATTACACTGTGGTTTTCGACCATGAGGTTTATTTTTGCGGATTATTTTTGTGCGGTAGTTTTCTTTGCGAGAAGTTAGTTTTGTGGATCATCCAGCATCCGAATCCACAAAACCAGAACCCGCAAAGTGTCAAGCAGTAATCATTTTCTTGAAATACTCAAATTGAAGAGAAAAAATTGTTCAAACCTGTACTGTAAGAAACGGACAAAAATTCAGTCAGTAGAATTAGCAGCTCATTACCTGTACCTATGATTAATTTTGTCACGCGGTAAGACAAAATAGCTCGTCACGCAATCCTTCCTCCTTGGCAATGATTGCGTGATTAGCCAAAAAGAACCTCTGTACGCGTAAAATAAAAGAAAGGAATTGAAAACTGATCAGGGTGGGCAAAGCCGATAACAGCCCGCAGTGCGTCACGAAACACAATACACTCTCGTGGCATTGGCTGATCGAATAACCACCCACGGAAAACCTGCTGTTCACGCGCATTGTCTCATTTGTCTGCATTTCGAGTGAAGGCAGTCAAAAACAAGGAATTTGCAAATACAAGTATAAATTTTCACAGGGTAAAACTGAACGGAAGACGAAAATGAAAAGGAGATCCAGCTGGATTGAGAACTGTGCAAGTTAGGAAATCTATCCGGTTGCGGATCCTATGAAAACACTTGGGTGATCAGTAGTGTACAATATAAACAGGATCCTACATACACTTAGCCAAGGTCAGTGCGGCAATTTTATTAATTTGGCAGTGCTTCTGCCCTGTGCTTGAATGGAAGATGAAATGAGAACCAGAGGATTAAACAAAAGAACTGCTCAGTTATGACATCTGCAATGCGCCGTCTTGGACAGGAAATTTCCAAACTTGGACTTCGGAGGCGAAATAGATCAACGTCGGAAAGTGATAGCGATGTTTTCAGCTCCACGGATGAATTACCAGCCAAAGGAGGATTAGAGGATCAACCGGAGAATGCTTTCTCTGCGGATGCTAACTTTGAGAATCGTAGTGCTTCGTCGTCAGTCGAATCGACGGATCCACTGCGACAAAGACGGCATTCAAGGAATGAGTCAGATGAGGACGTGGAATGTAAGGAGCGAAGGAGTTCCATCAAAGCTGCCCTCAGACCAGTTCTTTCTCGCAAGAGTCGTTCCGATTTGGCGAAATACTCGCGTCCGAACTTCGACCATAAACTAAAACAAGGTCCACTGGAGAGAAACGGCTCTAAAAACAGCATCAAGGATGGCAACTTTGATTGGATTACCGCTGTGAAAAACGGAAAGGGCAAGGAAACTAAAGCATCTTCATTCCCATATCGTGTTGCAGGAATAAGTGAGGCAATGGGCCACGTAGACAAAACACAGAAACCAAAAAGAAGCAGAATGAAACGCAGCAAGTCGTTTAGCGGCTTGTTGGGTTGGAGGCAAGGGACGAGACAAGGGCGAAAAGATTCGGCTGGAAATATCAGCTGCCATCAGAAACCTTTGAGAAGAACTAATTCTTTTAGCGGCAAAGGTGACAAAAGCAATTTAAATGTGGAGAATTCTATCGCTAAAAAGTTGCAAAATCAAGCCTTCATGACACCTGATACGAATCCAACCAATAGAAATGTTTCACCGAACATCTACATCACGAGCTTTCCCTCTTCAAATGCAGGCGAACATACGCAGAACGGGCGCGCTCGCATGAGTTACAGGAGCTTCATGGCGTTAGAGGGTTTTAGATACGAAGAGGGAATGATTGAAACTGACTTATGTTCGACAGAGCTTTGATTTTTTTCACCCGTGAAATCATTGCGCAACTTAGTATTGAACGCTGCTCAGGATTTTTCTCGTTCGTATGCATGGCACTTGACCCAGCTATCCATGACGGGTCAGAACTATGTCGATTGCCTCGCTGCACAATTTACTTCTACGAATGGACAGGTACAATTTTGAACCATTTTTGTGGAACAAAAAGGAGTCGTAGTTTAGGCTCGTTGTGTAACAGTGTTTTGATCGGGAGCTTGCTAGGCAAGGACTTATTAACAGGAACACTCTAAAGAGTAGCGGGTTAACGTTAATTAAGAATAATGAGGGTCACCTACAATCGTTATCTTATATTGCTCGTATCGTAGATTGATGTAGCATAACTAACACGCATCCCTTGACTTTGCGGCCCGGGTAACAAACTACTTTGCCTAACATAAACAGTGAGGTGTGTTAGTATTACAAAGTACATAACTTTTTTTTTCAAAACCTTAAGTGGATGTGGTGGGATATATTACATATTAAAGTTATTGTCAAGTGGAATATTGTTCCGTGTTATCTTACAGCCAACGGCTTATCAGCGTGACAAACTCTCTCAAGAAGTGTTTTGTAAAACTGTAATTTTAATATGTCACTTGCCAAGGCAAGTTTAATAATTAGAAAATAAAACATATTGTATGACACTTCATTCCGTTTTGAGTTAATGAAAATTAATCAGTAACCCACCTGCTGTGTTTGTAGAATGGCGATCACACAAAGTGATCATATCGATGAATGTGAATGTCTTTTAAAAATAACTCAACCTTATAGCTTGCTGTTCAAAAAGCAAATTCTCCCACTTGCTATTCAGTGAGTTCATAATCGACTGCCACATTGCGAAAAGAATGGTTTTGGGTACATTGGCACCACTTTATTAGCGTGGCTAGTGAGGTATTTTTATTCATATTCTAAGACCAGTTTGATACAAGTCTCTATTTATATCCACTGTCTTAAGAGTTATAGAGTATTTAACTACCATTTGACAACCTCTTAAGACCTTTATGCCATATTTTAAAACTTCCGATGTGATATGTAAACAAGATAAAAGTAATTCACCTAAAAAAAAATAGATAAAAAAATACGAATAAAATAAGAAAAAATAGTCAGAAATAAACGTTCCAAGGTAAATCAAGTGAGGTAAAAGATGTCCTTTTCTCTAATCTTTAAGTTTTTCAGGAGTTATTTTTTTCTTTTCATGATTAAGCCTGGGATGAGAACGAAGCTATAAAACATTTAACCAAGAAATTAACCTTTCTTTAGCTATTTGCTTGATGCTTTTTTGGTACATCTAAGCAGTATGCTTTCAATCGATGATCTTTTTTCGTGTGTGTGTGTGAAATAACTTTTGAATCCATAAAGTTGCGGAAAGGGAAATTAATGTAGAAAATATATTTATTCGAAATTACATTGAAAAACGTAATTAGCTTCAATAAAGCTAAGAACTCGTTTTTTTCCTTAAAAGCATTAGAACTTTTGATGCTTCAAAAGCAAACAAAATAGAGATATCTGGCCTAGGCTATAATATATTTTATAACTTTTACTGTGCAACATTCAGCATTTATATCCTAAAAGCCCCAATATCTGAACATACGAATTCTCCAAACTGATGGGCCATACATTTTCATAAAGAAGTATATAGTTGAGAGAGATTGATAAAATCAAAGCATTTTCCCTTTGGTGATCATATCAGGAATAATTCTCATAACATTTCCCTGTGATTTTGTATTGATGTTATCAGGCGAAAATTGATGGTGGCCATTGTAAGGGGACCATTGAGGCCACGAGTAAGCGTTTGCAGAAGCCAGAGTGCCGTAACTAGAGAGTTTGATATTAGTTAATTAAACGACTGTTGGTATTTATTCATTGCCAGAGAATTAGCACATGTTTTTACTACCGTCCGTATCATCGGGAAATTCGTAAATATAGTAAGGGGTTCAAAAGGGAAGAGCTGACTGTATCTGTAAGTTTTAATTTCATTCACCTAGATAATGTGCGTACTCGTGAACTAGCCTTTTCAGAAACCCTCCATTTTCTCTTTAGAGATCGTCGAGCGGGCGTACGAAAATAAATACTATGAGGGATTTATAGACTGCTAGCGCCAGGAAGAAAAGAAAAACGTCTGTGAAGAGTACAACAAGCACAGCAAGTACTCAACAGTAACCTTATCACCGCCACAGAAAAAAGGCATGAAGCTTTCAAAATAAAGTGTCATCACACTCTAAGCTGCTGACTCAAAATTAATACCATGATCACAAAACAGTTCTAATCACACTAGGCAGGAGCTGGGCTCCTGCACCAGGTTACTTTCGATCAAGTTTTACCTTGCCTGAAATAAATTCCGATTTCGTACTGTTATAAATATTTTTTTTGTTAGCTTTTTTTTAGTGAACATCGGTATTTTAAAAGCATGCATTCTTCAAAAGTTGAAAAGCGATCCTCAGCACTTCAAGAATGGTTGTCATATCTTCACGATCGTAGAATGACTAGAATCATGGCTCTTGACAAGACTAAAACACCTTAATTCTTCTTCGTTGCTGAAGGATGATGTAATAAAATTAATAATAATACGTAATTCGTACCGCAATCAGCAGCCAAACTCGACTTTTGATATTGTACATGCTACTGCTTTGTTACTGCTAAACTGCAAAATAACAAAAGAAAAAAAGAATTAAGTGTTTAAATTTACCAAGAAAAAGGAACGGAAGAAAGAATAAACTTAAGAAAAAAGGGAAAGAAAGGAAACAAAGAAAGCAAGCCGACATGAGAGGAGAGGGGAGCGAGGTTTGCTGACAGTGTCAGTTTGTGTCGATAAAGCATACTTGAAAATAAACGCGAGAACTGGTTTAAGATTTTCGCTCGTTTCACCACCTTTCACGAGCAGTTGATCAACAGAAATAAATATTCACAGAATTAAAAACATTCAGTCTGGTTTTAATGAATTTCCTTCAACTATTTCTATGCTTACGTCATACATACTTTCCAACAGTCTGAAATACATGCATGGATGTCTTGACCTCATTCTTGACCTGGTAGCTCCTATAAGAGCCGTTTGTTGTTGATGTTTTCGCCGTTAAGTGTTGATTGTTAATAATACTACCTAAGGCTGCTTGGAAACGGACGCAACAACTCCCAGCATTGTTGCGCCAATAATGTTGGGAGTTGTTGCGTGCGTGTTAACAGTGGTCTGCAAACGGATGCAAGAACTCCCAACAATGTTGGGACCTGCAGTGCATCGTGGGAAGGATACAACCCATAAGTCTTTGTAAACCATGCGTAATGAGCGTGCGTGGCCCCAACAATGTTGGAAGAGCCGTTCACCGGTGAAAAATGTCTGATTGGTCGACGCGCGACCACGTGACATTGCCACATTCAAAATGGCGGCAATACATCCATCGTTTGTTTATTCCAGTGGAAAGAAGATTAATTGCGGCTTAATATGAGTTGCAAATGCATATACGGATATTTTTAGAATAGCCTAGACTTTTTATTATCCTTTTTCACCTATTCCTATGGGATTCGTTCCCTGCGATGCTCGCGTTTTGACCGGTTTACCGGATTCAACTTTGGACTCTTCACGATCACGAAGGACAACAATATTATATTTTTGATGAAAGCCGGGTCACTAGAAAGAACGGCCTTTGTTCACAGCTCTATGCAGCGGAGAAATAAGACACTATGGGTCCTTTGAAATTGCTTAGACACCTGGAAGTTATTTTATTATTTTTTTTACCGAAAAGATAAAGCAAAATTATGTTTTCTCCAGTAAGACTTTCTAATTTATAAAAACTGAAAAGCTTGAACATGAGCTAAATGAACTGTAGTGTCTGCATTCATGTTCTTTTCATTGCAATTTTAACATCAAAACTTTAAAGCCGTCTATGATCAAGCAAGTTTCCTTTTTCTTTTTTCTTTTCAATGGTTACTGTGCTTGATCTGAATAAGATAATGAAATTTTTAAAATTAGGGGAATACTATATATAAAAGAAGAGAACTTTGATTGCAAGTATGTTAGTTATGGAAAATACTGATTATACTATATGATCTTTTTACTGTATAGGTTAGAAAAGTGATACGTAGTCAAACGTGCTACAAAGGAGTAAAAACCCAGATCTTGCCATTAATAAATTTTATTGACACTGTCAGGGACATATACTTTGCTTGAGTACACATTTCTTCGTCAAAAATCTTGTTCGTGAAGCTGCACTTTGTTTGATTCAGGATCAATCATTCTTTTCTGAAGAGAACTGAACATGACAATAAAGTATGTTAACATGTCACTACTTCAACACTGCCTTAGCCAACAACGAAGAAGAAACTCAACTTCACATAAAAAAAAACAAAGTGAAAAATAGTTCATTGTGAAACAACAACCCCTTCAAATATACATCACATTAAATTCATGCAAAATGTAGACCTGATGAGAAGTTTATAGGAAAAGAAACAAACGATAACTACAATGAAACTATAATGTTTGACGGTGATCTGTATTTGAGTGTTCTCTCATAATTCTGACAGAAGATCAAAATTGGAAACTGCATATCCTAAACAACTGCATTCATCAACATGATCCAACTAAAATTTCATTAAGATTTAAAGTTAACTCCAAACTTTAAACTTCTGTAAGCTTAATTTGTGAGGATTATTTTTTTTTCTTGTAAAGAACTTTTGAATACTTAATAGCATGTTAACTCTATCATTCATTCATAACTTTGCGCCCAAAAAAAATTAAGCCGAAAACGATGGACAGAAAAACAAAAGCATTTACAGGAATATTACCCTGTTCATCTCCTTCGAGGATCCATTTTTCAAGCAAAGAAGCACCCCCCACAGAAAGCCTTGTGTGCAAAAATTTAGTACTAAAAAATTGTACACGGAGGAAATCATGTCCTTAAAGTGGGTTCCTAACGAAGTTACTCGTTGTGTGGATAATTCCAAGCCAAATTTATGAGCTAAATAATCTAAACTTCGATCCTTCAATTATAAAATTGCAAGCCTAAAAGTACAGCAGCTGTGCATATTGTAGACAAAATTTTTTTAACAAATCAGAATGTTGCTGGACCCATCGAACTGTAGCTCCAAGACAGTCTAAGCGTTTTAATGAAAACTCTCTCACATTTTCTCATTCGACAGTTCGCATAAAACTGAAATTTCTATGTGGTAACATACAAAGCTGTGATAACGTTCAACAACAATGAAATTTGCATCGATCGACAAAATCACGTTTCGAACTACGCACTTTTAGAAAACCGCCGCAACCCGGCCGCTTTCGATCCACTAGCCACAAGACAATTTACACAGCAAGACAATTGCTAAGAATATTTCTTTACCTTCTTTATAATTTCCTTCTTTATAATTTCCTTTTGTAACGAGTGACACGAGATTAAGTTGAACCAAGCGTAAGCGTTTTTTCTGCCATGAACAGTGTAAACATGCGGAGATTAAGCATCTAAATATAGTTTTTCCAGCAACAAAGTACAAGCTAAGTCATATTAACAAAACAAAGCCCAAAAATGTCTGTCCCTCTGCCCTTTTTTGTTGAATTTGTGATAAGAAACTTGATCTTAACAACAAATACATTTTGGATAGCATTGCAATACGCTCTTCGATCAACAGTCGAATGTTATCGAATGTTAGAGACACAATCAAGGTCGAAATTTGGCACAAAAACGGGATACACATTTAACAAAACTGTTGCTTCCGTGCAACTCAGTACAAGCTAATTTATATACCAAAACAAAGCCCAATAATTTTTCTTCCACTAATTATAATTTATTTTTGTACCGAGTTGCACGAAACATGCAGTAAACAAAAAGAGCAAAAATTAGCCACCTTTTCGGCATGTCTTCCACATGCAAACCGGCGAT